AAGTAAAATGCGTGCCGCATTCCAAGTAGGGATCAAATAGAAGTAAAATGCGTGCCGCATTCCAAGTAGGGATCAAATGGAAGTAAACTGCACGCCGCATTCCAAGTAGGGATTGATCAACAGCAAATGCCTTATGCTCTACGCTTTATCCGTACTGATCGGGCCAACCAAACCTTCCATCTCTTCGGCGTTGGTTAATTGGTACCAGACTTGTCTGGGAGGATAAAAAACACTGACTTGTACATCGGCTGGCCCCCGCAAGTCATTGTATAGGCCACATCGCATTCAAATGCCACTACGAATGTACAAATGGAAGTAGAATGCGTGCCGCATTCCAAGTAGGGATCAAATGGAAGTAAAATGCGTGCCGCATTCCAAGTAGGGATCAAATGGAAGTAAACTGCACGCCGCATTCCAAGTAGGGATTGATCAACAGCAAATGCCTTATGCTCTACGCTTTATCCGTACTGATCAGCCAGACTGCCTTTACAAAGCCCCGTCTGTGAAAAATCACGTGTGAAAATCAAAACGAGCTAGGTAACCGACGCCGTTGTGGCTGGAACTCTTATTCGTCAACGGTGACGATGAGGGAATCTCACGTTCCACGCGGGGGTTCAAAACCACCAACGGATGAATGACGTCCTTCATGATGCGATGGTTTACACATCCCGCGTCCGTACAGCGCCTCATCGTTGTCCGTTCATTCACAAATCCTTCGGTTGCGTCGATGCGCGCGTTGATGGCGCAGCGAAGCGCCGGAAGTCTACCGGAAAAGGTTTTGCAGCGCGAAAAACGTCGTTGTGTCAACCGATGGGCGTCTCCAAAAGTTAATGTGAAACCGCGGAACTTTTTTCCGTCGTCAAATGCTGCGTCGCCCACGTCCCGCCCGTCTGATATTGACCTCGTTTTAGTGGTTCCCATCGTCCGAACCGTCTCTTCCGCCAACCCCCGCCCACCCCCTCATCCAAGCCCTCCTCTGATCCTGCCCATCGTCCACTCGCCCCGTTCCTGCATCTGCTGCACCTCATTCGCTTCGCGCTCCGCGTTTCTTTTCGGTTTTCATCGCCATCGCTCCGTTCGTTGCTATCGATTGGGATCATTGTCTTTCATCCACTGCTATGACGGTTACATTGATTTCTCAGTGCATGTCTCACGACTTCCGTGAGATTTCCTCTCGACTAACTTCCACAAAAGTGTATGTAGTTCTAGACAAAAACTCGGTGAACCAGTTCCTCACTTGTAGTTGGACACAGTGCTCCAAAAGGTCAGGCGCTCTAGCGCGTGCTTGAACTTGTACTCCATCCATACGTGCTCGAACTTCAGAGTAGGAGTAGGCTCTATACAAGTAGGGTGGGCACGCTCAACTTTTCACGCATGTCAAGTGACTGCCCTCACCCCCACCCCCTAGATTGGCTACACTCCCCCTGGCTCACGAATTCCCCGATTCTCGTGACAGTATAGTAGCGGGCAGCAGTCCCACTTACATACATTTCTGTTCAAAAAATGCGGCGTGCCCACCCTACTTGTATAGCACCAGGAGTACTTCCTGAGCCTTCCACCCCTTCTGCCATCAGCGACTCTTCCTGTACACCT